ACACATGTTACTTGTACGGACTTGTTGTACTGATATTAATACTATTGTGTTCAACTACCATCCTGTACTAATAGAATTACTTCTCAATAAATACAGTGGCGGGAAGCTCCTTGTACTAACCCTGCAAGGCAGCAGCATCAAGATGCCAGGGCCTATACTTTCAAAAAAAGTTAAGAGATCGTAAGTTCATCAGCCAATCATTGACGGCATTTCATGCCAAATCCACCAATCATAGATAAGAAAATAGAGCGTAAGTACTTACGTTTACTTAGCGAGTTTTGAAAGTATGGCCCCAGGCCCTGCACTTCTGAGATGCTAATACATATCAAGTTAGAGTATAGAATAAAGTAAGAGTAGAATATTCAGGGTAGAAATTATAACTAGACTGCATACAAATAGTTCACTGACTTTATCATGTACCTTAGAGGCACGCCATGTAGGACCGAGAGACCTTAGAGGCATGCCATGTAGGACCGAGAGACCTTAGAGGCACGCCATGTAGGACCGAGAGACTTAGAGGCATGCCATGTAGGACCGAGAGACCTTAGAGGCATGCCATGTAGGACCGAGAGACCTTACAGGCATGCCATGTAGGACCGAGAGACCTTAGAGGCACGCCATGTAGGACCGAGAGACCTTAGAGGCATGCCATGTAGGACAGAGAGACCCTATAGTTGCTAGAGCCCCGACAGATGCTAGAGCCCCGACAGACGCTAGAGCNACTTAATAAGACTTTTAGATTCATCACTTTGTTGTACAAGCTCATCTTTGTTATTAGTTCCTTCATATGAATAAAACTTTCTGGCAGCAGCACTGCAACTGCTGCCAGTCTCACAACTTTCTCGCTTTGTCCACACCATTCTCGTAAATTCATCCAAGGTTTAGTGAATTCAAAAATGTATTAACAAATCTAAATTTTTCTGGACCTGGAACCAATGGAATTCAATTATCTCTCCTCAAAAAATGTCTCACTTCAATTAATCTTGCATTAGAAGCCAATCCAAGGTGGAAAATTGAGCTGCAGCCACCCGTGAATCTGAGGAAAACAGCCATGCATCTGGCCAATCAAACTCATTTCTACAGCCTTTTCCTAATTTATTCAGTGAAAAATAAGAAAAATGCCCTATGTTTACCAGCAAATTTCCAAAATCACCTCAAAAAAACTTTTTCCCACAATCTTAGGAAATTTCCGCCAATTTTCCAAATTGGAAGCCAAGGATAATATTCCCTAAATTTTTATTCAAAATAATTTTCAACTGAAATAGTATATATATCTAAATTAAAACATTTTTTGTAACTATGTAGCACACTGCATACTACACTTATTTGCAATTTGTCCATCAAGCATGCCATGGAAAGAAGCAATTGAAGGAAATGAAGCAATTAACCCACACATCTGTAACCTGCAGGCAAGCACCAATCAACCAACACTTTTTCATTGAATATTAAAAGCAGCCTCTTAATGCTAGCCTAATGTGATTCTAGGATAGGATGGTGTGCTACAGTTGCAAAAGATTTGCTTCTCATTTAAGAATTGTTGGAAGCCCTGATGCTCAACAAATGTGTTCCAAAAGCTGTCAGCCTGCTTGCAGATGCGGTTGGAATGCGGCCTGGATGTGGGCACAAATCGACAGCAAATATTTCCCAGTCCTCTGAAAGGGTGACCCAAAGCCCATGTTTTTTGGTGCTGCCGGCCTGCGGCTCTCCACATGTGGTGACTGTAGTCGGCGTCTCTGTTGCTACTAGCGGGGGATGTCCAGGAGAACCCGGGTCCGACTTGGATGTGTGACATATGCAATGGACAAATCACAAAATGCCAATACTCATTTCTCTGTAATCGTCTTGCCCACACTAGGTCCATAAAAACTGCACAAACATACAACTCCATCAATACACAAATTCCTGGACCTGTCCCCAACACACTCCACCAATCCCTCCCAGGCCAAATACAGTCTCATAAAACCATTAAAACGTGCTGTCGGAGCGGGACAGCACGGCATTTTCAAAATTCGAGAAAGACAGTTCCAGAAAGATGACGTAGCAGCCGGCCGAAGCCGGCTACTGTCACGGGAGCTCTGTGAGGGCGAGGCCGTGCAGGAGGCGCACCAGCGCCCCCGTCGCGCCCGTCCCCGTCAGCAGCACCCGGTCCTCTTCTGACGCCCTCACGGCGCTACGTAGCACGTCACGTGCCTCGTGCCTGGGGGATACGTGAGGGGATAAGTGAGGAGATACGTGAGGGGGACACGTGAGGGGATAAGTAAAAGGATACGTGAGGGGATACGTCTGTACTGGATGAAGCCCTTCAACTGAGGACATCAAGTGGCTACAATAACACGCAGGAATAACACGCAGCTGGAGGGATATTAGCCACCTCACTCTTATCGTTAGTGTCCCATGAGGCATCGCTGTTTGCAAGAGGCTAATAGTATAAAGAAGTCAATGTTCAAATGAACTCAATTAGGAAGTTTATAGAAGAAATTAGAAGCATTAATATCGCATCTTGTCGGATAAACACAATATTGAACAGCAGCATGACTCTGTCAGCACCGCCATGTAGTGACCGCCACTCTACCGTCACCATACCGCCGCACCGTCGGTGGCGGGCGGTGTGGGTGGCGGGGAGGTACCTGAACATGGTGGTCTGGCGGGAGGTGTGGGTGGCGGGGAGGTACCTGAACATGGTGGTCTGGCGGGCGGTGTGGGTGGCGGTGGTGTGGGTGGAGCCGTAGTGGGGGAGGACGTGGGTGCTGAGGTAGTCCTCTATGAACTGCAGGGGGCGGCCTGACGCTGTGTGGTCGCAGTACACAACTGCCAACACAACACAGGTTAACACAAATGTCATGTAGCTGTTGATATATACAGTTTCTTATGTTTGTTACAGAGTAAATATGGTCAGAAAAATTACATTTTTTAGCAATTAGAACATCAAAGAAGAGATTATGAGAACTTTCACTTGATAAATTAAATGAGGCTATTTAAATATCAATAAGCTAATTTGTAATAAGCAAACAAAACTTTATTCTCACATGAGCTTATATTCTTTAGCCTAATTACCTTTCTTGCATCCAAATGGAGACTGGAATACTGTGTCTTTGCCAATTATTTGATCACTTATGTACTTAATAAGACTTTTAGATTCATCACTTTGTTGTACAAGCTCATCTTTGTTATTAGTTCCTTCATATGAATAAAACTTTCTGGCAGCAGCACTGCAACTGCTGCCAGTCTCACAACTTTCTCGCTTTGTCCACACCATCCTCGTAAATTCATCCAAGATTTAGTGAATTCAAAAATGTATCAACAAATCTAAATTTTTCTGGACCTGGGACCAATGGAATTCAATTATCTCTCCTCAAAAAATGTCTCACTTCAATTAATCTTGCATTAGAGGCAAATAGTCTCATAAAACGTGCTGTCAGAGCGGGACAGCACGGCATTTTCAAAATTCGAGAAAGACAGTTCCAGAAAGATGACGTAGCAGCCGGCCGAAGCTGGCTACTGTCACGGGAGCTCAACACAAAGAACCTCTTGCACTTGCAGTCTCGCCTCAATGGTTAGAACAGAACTCTACTGAGCGAGTCTTCTTTTCTTTAGTTGGAGTTTATGGGAGCCTCTGAAGACTTGTTCAATGCGGCCCCACGTCAGAACAGTTCAAGGAATTTGACTGAATTTGGTTTTCAGGTACAAAATTGGGTGTCTTGAAAAAAAACTCAAGATTTCTCAATGGCTGAAGGGTTGCAGAACGGGGCCACCAAAGTGGAGACCACACCGGGGCGGAGAGCACCACTCCAGGGCAGAAAGCCCCACTCCAGGGCAGAAAGCCCCACTCCAGGGCAGNCCTTCCATTGTGGGATGAAAGCCCTCAAATGTATCACCAATATCAAGGACTTCAATGTCATCATTAACCAAGTGGTCTCTTACCTCATTGCTTGTATTAGTACTAGGAGTAGGTGGTACAATGTCATCAAGGCTGAGAGGTGGCATTTGTGACCAGGTGGGTATTGCAGAGGGATTAGTAATGCTGACACCGGAAGCAGAATAGGTTTCTGAGCAGTCGGATGATATTGATGCTCCATCTCCTTGTTCTTTTTTCTTACGTTTAGCTTTGGGCTTGGGCATTCTGCTGGTTTTTTGTACAAACAAGGTACTCCAAATAGGTGCCCGTCTCAAAATTAAGACTTTTTTCTATTTATTCACCGATTCAAAAATGTACTCACTCTATCACATACACACGTCCGTAGTCGACCGAAGCTCGAACCTACTGAGCGAGTCAAGCACGTGCGGACAATGTGTCCTCACACTCATACCGTCTGCACTTACATAAAAAGAAAATTCTAATTTATAATCTCTCGAACTAATTAGACTTCTTTGGAAGAAAATGCTGTTGATTGCAAATATTCGTCTGACATGAACTTTAATTTAACAAATAATACAGGAAACTGCTATAGGCTAAATATTTCATTTAAAGAAACGCCTTACCAAATTTGGCAGTTTTTTAACACAATGCACATAATTAGAAAATTTCTTTACGATTTATGGAGAAATTGTAAATCAAGTGATATGACATCAATAAATTGAAAAACTCGATGACTTATGAATTATGACAGTCGGATAAGTCGTCGTAACTTTTTCTGTGTGATCGACAAGATAGTGATATTATCCAATTATATATTTCTCTGTAAATTATTCATCGATGCTGTGATTAGGACAGAATAGCTGTCTTTATTATTTACTATTATGCTCTGACTTCTGAATACAATAAAAATAAATGTACGTATGTACTTAAAAGTTAGATAGTTCAGTTGCAAGATCTGCATAATTATAGTAACAAATCTCATTATCATATACCGAATGTTAAGTAAAATATAAACAAAAATGGTTTCTGTGCATACGATGCTAATTTTTTAACTGTAAATCTATAGGCTAGCGATACCTCGTAAGCAAATAAGAATTTCCCAAAAAAAAAGTCATTAAAGCAAGTGAATAAAACGTGTTCGCTGAGAACACGGCGAGACGATCATATCGCAATTTCCATCACGTTTCAGGCGAATAAGTTGTTTACAGCAAACTTGTAAAGCTTCAATCAAGATTCAAAAAGACATTGTCACAGGACGTCGCCGCAACTTTTCTATGCTGTCAGACGGCACGGACTATACGGCAAAACGCCGATGACTCTTGTTAAAAATAATGGTCTGAATAAAGTTTCAATCGCTAGTGTTTTATTGTACTTGGATTCCGTTAATTACAATTTCAGATAAAACTCGACTTTTATTTCAGTAATGACCACTTCAAAGCAACACGTTTAATAAAATGGCAAAACCAGCTCGAGAGACATGTCACATTACATGTTGAAAATGTGCCTTTACTCTTAAGATCTAAATATTCAGGTAGTCCGATTGGTTATAATTTAACAGCATATTTTCCTTAACCTAAAGTTTAAATTTGACACCATATAGTTTAAAACCAAATTCATTGATTAATATACAATTGGGAATTTGGAGCCGGATTCATAAATTTCAATTAATGTTAGATGTATTAATCGCGGCAACCCTGCTACCACTTTCAGACTAATCATTTCTAAATTCCGAACAAAGAACCATCTACCCGGCCACAACATCACGATAATACGTCTGCGTCAAAACAGTCAGTCTCTAGCAACAGATGGTGATGACAACAGTGCCTTCATGCAGTCACCGTCAAATTTTACGCTCGATTCATTTGCCGTTAAACATCTTTAGCCAGTCCCTATGAAGAGAAAGGGAGCTCGCTGGAGTGACCGGCGGCGGTATGGCGGGGGCCTAGTGCTGCTACCTTCGGCGCTACCGCTTTCGGACGTCTTCCGTACTAACGGCGATGGAAGTCTGATCGCGGCGACGATGACAACGCGGCAAAGATCCGATGGACGTCTGAGGCGCGCATTACTTTGTTACCCTTAGAGTCCCATCAGGCACCAACTCCTCCACTTGCTCCTTATAAGAACCTTCATTTTACCGCTGGAATTGAAGATTGGTAACTCCAAATTCCCAATTGAATATTATCAAACTCATTATTAAGTAATTCATGTTGTTACTAAATTCGTTACTAATAAAAATTCGATACTAATGTTACTAATTTTATCATTTGACAGCTGCGCTTCATCCTCCTTTTCGGGCCCGCGGGTGGCGGAGGGTCAGGGGGGGAGCGCTACCGACAGGCTTGACCCGTTGACCTCACCGACCGCCATTTTCGCTATAACTTCATTCGTCCGTTAAATAAAAATTCTTCGAATTGAAACCTAATTTATCCCCCACTCGCCATAGTTTTCGAAATTACACTGCTGAATGAAGCGTTTATAGAGCACAACCACAAGAACTAGCGTTGGGGCACAAGATCGCTAGTGAAGCAACGGAGCGAGGCTAGAACCTCATTTAGGGCTGGCAGGACCCGACTGATTTCTCAACCCACAGCCACACAGACCACGTAGCTCCTACTGCTGAAAAGTCTGACTCTAATGTTACTGGCACAGCTTCGCCAGATGCTACAGAATAATTTAGTCACAAAAATGAATAATAGTATCAATCGAGCAATAAATATTAGTGAACGATGTTCCTCGTCTCTCCGTAGTAGCAGCCGGGGCAGCGCTACTGCGGCAGTGGCAGTACACGCCGGAGCGTGTAGGTCAGTTTTTCCGGGCACTAATACCACTGGTAGTTCTACGACCATCACTGGCTCGCTGACCCGCCAGAACCATATTTGCATTACACAACACCCTGGACAAGCCAGGTACTCATTGATCAACCAGAGTTGCACGAATGGCTGAGTTGACCATGAGCTGAGCTTCCCGGTAGAACTTGTCCTCAGTGGGACTCGAACCTGGGAGCTGGGTGCGAGAGACAGAGAACCCGGGAGCTGAGTGCGAGAGACAGAGAACCCGGGAGCTGGGTGCGAGAGACAGAGAACCCGGGAGCTGGGNACGTCTGTCCTGTCAACATCGCACGTCTGTCCTGTCAACATCGCACGTCTGTCCTGTCAACATCGCACATCTGTCCTGTCAACATCGCACGTCTGTCCTGCCAACATCGCACGCCTGTCCTGTCAACATCGCACATCTGTTCAGTCAACATCGCACGTCTGTCCTGTCAACATCGTGTGCCTCATTAATGAATTAATTCGCTACACGCGTCCACAAAGTTTCCTAACTTATTAACTCTAATTATGCACTAACAATTCCTAACTTATTCAGTTAACTCTACTTCTGCATTGGTATCTGGTAACTTTTCAATATAAAAATATAATCGTGTCCACCATCACTCCCGTCACGTTGCTGCAGGCGCTCAGACATCCCACCACCTGCACCCCTGCAGCGCTGTGCTCCTGCAGCAGCTCCTGCATGTGCTGCACGTCTATGTTGCCCTCCGCCGTCTCTCTTATGCGCACCACCTGCACGCAACATGGGGCTTCAGATCTGCATAGTGAACATCACTACATCATATCAATAATATATCAAGTGACATCACTATATTACCACAATAATATAATAAGTGAACATCACTAGGTACATCACATCTATAATATAAGTGAACATCACTACATCACATCAATAATATATTCAGTGAACATCACTCCATCACATCAATAATATAATAAGTGAACATCACTCCATCACATCAATAATATAATAAGTGAACATCACTCCATCATATCAATAATATAATAAGTGAACATCACTCAATCACATCAATAATATAATTAGAGTCAACTCTTCACTATTGACAGCAGCATATCGCTATTATTCACTACAATAAGCCTAAAACTCAGAAGCCTGCACGGCTCAGACATTCAGGGCGGGCGGTCGCGAAACGTTCAAGAAATATTTTATTTTAAAGGAATGAAAGTTTTGGGTTATTTTGGTGCGAAAGTGGTGAGTGTATACTGTGAGATAATACATGTATATTTCTTTACGGGACACATACATACCCCATATATTGCGCACATCTTCACTTACATACGATATAGTACAGGGTGAACCAAAATTAAGTAACCCTTTTAATTTGTTAATAAATAAAAAACTAAGAACGTTATGAAGTTGAAACTTGTTTTATTTAAAATAAGAACATTTTTATGGTAATATTGTATCCTAGTTTTTAAATATAATATATTTTAAATGCCCACCACAATTGTTTTGACAAAATAGGGCTCTTCTCTTCGTTGCTTTCATAACCTTCATTAGTAATTTCCCGGTATCCGCAAATTTTTGATAAAGAGATTTAATGGTTTTTTTTGAAGGACTGATTCTTGTTTTGAAATGGATCCTGTAATCACGTTGAATTTCTGTTAT